AAAAGCAGTTGTATACAAAGCACGTTTTACGGTTCTAAAAAGTAACACTTTGCTCTGAAGCAGCAATTTGTTCACCATCACTAACAGCCATTTACTCCTGCACAAAGATTTATGGGATTTATGGATCCATACCTGCAGTTAGGGAAATACAGCCCAGTGCCTGCTCTGAGAAATTGAGAGGGATAATCAACTGCTTGCATTCTCAGTAAGGGAAGGAACACGCTTTCCAAGAAAAGTTTAGATACAATTCACCCAAAATCTATGATGTCAAATTCCTGACTTACTTTGTTTTGTTTTAATGTGTCCTGTATATCAGAATATCTGTCAGAAAAATCTTCTCCTCACAATGAAAACATAGGTTATTGAACAAACAGAACAATTCAGATGACCGGTTAAAGAACACATGGAGAACTTCACTTGTGTCAAGTATCAAACCCATCCTAGTTCAGCAGCAACATTTACCATCTGCTGCTGTTCTGACTCACACATCAGTACAGTCCGCCACCACAGCCCACTTCCTGCACAAAGGTAGCCAAAAGACAGCTAAAATTGCTTTCCAGAAAGCGCAGTTTTCAATGTTAGACCACATGCTGAACAAATAGCAAAGTTTACTCTCATCTTTCATTGAGGAGGAAATTGTCCTCCTTTGTTTATGGAAGAACACCACTGACGACAAGACAAACTTAGGTTGCGAAAGAAGTTGTTCACCCTTTAGGGATTACAAACTCACATTTTTTTCAGCACTGCACTCATGTATGCACACGTTTGTGCAGAGAAACATGATTTTCAAGTTACAAGTAGTGCATAAAGAAGAGATCTGGACTATGCTCTTCAATGGCTCACAAAGAAAAGTGTAAGCCTATTTCTTAATCTTCCTCCAAAGTAAACTCTTTATTTTAATAGTTAAATCCTGTTTTTAACTATTCCTTTCCTCAAAAGATACTTAAAACAACTAATGAGATCACAAATGTTGAATGAAAATGGATTTACCATAGAAGAGAGTTTTGTTAGGCCCACTTTCCAGTTTGGGTATGCCTATCTACATGGAAATGCTAAGCAAAAGCTTCCAGTCTTCCAAGTAAAAACTCTCATAGAACAAGTTCAGACTCAACATTGCTGCTCACATCAGACAAAACTTTCATACTTCTGTATTACTTTTTGCTAACATGACAACAGCTGTTCTCCACCTCACATATTTCAATAAAGAACTATGCCCATTCTCCCAATGATTTTTGCTCACCACTGCTGGGCTAGCTGGAATGAGCCATTACATGTAAAATTACAGTACATACTAATGCAGAAAAAAAGCCTCCATTTTTCCACTCTACAGGCCACATGATGACTCTAAACATGAAAGAACAGTCTATTCCAACTGGAAGTATATATCCTGCCATGACTTTTGTTACTGTTCTGCTGTGCCATTGAGCAAAAGTGTAAGCTTTCACCTAGAATGCACTGCCTCATACTGGTTAATTGACTCTAGCCTCTTTAAACTGAAGGGAAGAAAAACTCTAATTTATCACCTTTTTCTCCTGCTGTCTGAAAAATCTGTCAAAATAGAGTCAAAGCACAACACATAAGTAAATGACAGTAAAAGAAAACAAACACAATAAAAGAAAAACACAACATGTTACAAACGAAATCTCTACTGCTTTTAGCTCATGTGACCAGACCATAAGCACCTTAGATGAAAGACAATATGGCACAAGTCTGTATGCTCAAGTTTTAGCCACTGACTCAGCAGAACTAGAAAGAAGGCAAATGAAGAAATTAATAAAACTTTTGGGAACCAAATGTGCTGCCATGACTGCTTCCCACAGCCCTTGCTGAGCAAGTAAAGCACCTACAAGCTATAGCTGGCATGTTTAGTTTGAGACAGCAGAAGCAAGTACAAACACGATACACGCAGATTACTAAGCACAACAGCCAGCAAGCAGATAGGAGGGAAAAGTGAGATACAAACTGAGGCCTTCGATCCAAACAACACCAAATTTAAAGACAGAAGACGTCAGCCTAGTTACGTATGTGTATACTGCAAGAGAATTCAGTTGCATTAGTAATGCAAAAGATGCTTACCTTGAACATTAACTCAGAAATAGTAAGTTACATTGAGAAACAGACACCAGTTAAAGACACTGTGAAGACTTCCCAGCTTTGCTACCAGCAATGGCTGCATGCACTGCTGCATCCCTCTGCAAGTAGAAGTGTTCAACACAGGCTTGGGAGACTGATGGTAGGCAGCAGAGGCTGCAGTATGCATCTCCTTGGACTGCAGAGCACTGACAACATCCCCACCCAAACACATCTCTGCACTGTTGCCTCACCTGGTGAATAACGTAGATGCCGTAGTCCAGCTGCTGCCTCTGTAGGAAGGGGTGGAGGTGCTCCAGGAGGTACAGCAGATGCTTTTCTCGATTGCGGTGTGGGATGAGGATGGCCACATGCTGCAATGCCGAGCACTCCGTAGGGTGATATCGGCCCTCGGCTACCTGAGGGTTCTCCTTTTGCACTTCTTCTAGTGTGAGAGATGCTTTGAAGGTGAGTTTGCTGGCACCTCCTGTAGGAGAAGCACAAGAAGCTTTCCCAAGCTATTTCTTGGTTGTGCCTAGTGGAGTCACCTAATGAGGCACTCTAACTAGCATAAGAAACCCAGGTTCAAGCCCCAATTGTTTCCCTGCCTTTCCAAGTGAAAAGTAGTGCTACAAGGACATTACGTGGGCAGTGGGAGGAGAGGATATCAAATGTTTAGTTGCTTAAACTGATTATAGAGTAATGATGATTAATAAATTAAAAAAATAAAAATCAAGAGAAGTTCCCTCGTACTGCAGCAGCCTTGGCCAGAAATGGCTGCCAGGGCAAAGCAGAGAAGGAAGTGGAAAGAGACATAGGACTGCGGCTATGAAAAGTTATCTCTACTTAAAGCATGAACAAAAGCATCAAATGCTTAGGGCTATAAATTTGTAAGATAAAATGTTGCCAAGGTTCTTTGTAGCCAAATGAAATTTCCTTCACTTCTGTTGCACTGAGCTATCATTCTAGCCCCTCCAGACTCAAAACCCATGAAAGAGAACAATGCAGGCAACTGTGACTGCTGCAGGCAACTGTGATGGCTACAGCCAAAGTGCATTTACTTAAGCAAATACATCGTGGGGGCAGGGGTGGAGATATGCAGCTAGACAGCAGCTTTTTGGACTACATCAGGGATGAGGGAAGAATCCAGCCTGCCAAGCAAATCCCTAATCAGGTTCACAAAAAGGAAGAGGAAGAAGACAATGACATGGTACTGCAAAGCAGAAGCCTGGTGCTGCTAGCAATAACAAGACAAAAAAAGTAGACTAATAAAAATGGCCAAACCAAGGAAACAGTCACCTATTTGAACCTTCACCATAAGTAGTTCTAACCCCAACGCAGCTGTGAAGTCCTTAAATTGCCAAGACAGAGACACAAAAGTACATCTAATAATGAAAAGGCAAAAAATTGAGGGAAGGTAAAAAGACTTGTGGTTGAAATAAAGATAGTTTAATAAAAAAAGGAAAAGCTGCGTGCACGAGCAAGGCAAAAAGAGAAATCCATGCATTACTTCCCATTGGCAGGCAGATGTCCAGCCACACCCTGGAAGCAGGCCTTCAGCACGTATAGCAATTGTTGGGAACACAAACGCTATAACCATGAACATGCCCGCCCCCTCCTCCATTTCCTGAGCTTTTATTTTCCACTGTAAGTGAAGATCAGGATCGAGACGACCTGAGGAACCTGAACATGCACAAGTCTTATGGAACCTGATGAGATGCATCCCAGAGTCCTGAGGGAATCGGCTGATGTAGTTGCCAAGCCACTCTCCATGATATTTGAAAAGTATATTTGAAAAGTCATGGCACTCAGGTGAAGTCCCTTGTGATGGGAAAGAGGGAAACATTGCACCCATTTTTTAAAAACGTAGCAAGGACCACCTTGGGAACTACTGACCTGTCAGCCTCACCTCTGTGCCGGGGAAGATCATGGAGCAAATCCTCCTAGAAGCTATGCTAAAGCACATGGAGGACAGCGAGGCGATTTAAGACAGCCAGCATGGTTTCACCATGGGCAAGTCCTGCCTGATCAACCTGGTGGCCTTCTATGACAGAGTGACCGCATCAGTGGAAGAGCTACCGATGTTGTCTATCTGGACTTCTGTAAGGCCTCTGACATGGTCCCTCACAACATCCTTCTTTCTAAATTGGAGAGAGATGGATTTGATGGGTGGACTGTTTGGTGGATGAGGAATTGGTTGGATGGTTGCATCCAGAGGGTAGTGGTCAATGGCTCAATGTCCAGATGGAGACTGGTGACGAGTGGCATCCCTCAGGGATCCATACTGGGACCTGTACTCTTTAGTATCTTCATCAATGACAGGTACAGTGGAATTGAGTACACCCTCAGCAAATTTGCAGATGACACCAAGCTGAGTGGTGTGGTTGACACGCCTGAGGGACGCGATGCCATCCAGAGGGACCTGGACAAGCTCGAGGAATGGGCTCGTGTGAACCTCATGAGGTTCAACAAGGCCAAGTGCAGGGTCCTGCACCTGGGTTGGCGAAACCCCCAGTATCAATACAGGCTAGGGCATGAAGGGATAGAGAGCAGCCCTGCTGAGAAGGACTTGGGGATACTGGTGGATGAAAAGCTGGACATGAGCCAGCAATGTGTGCTCGCAGCCCAGAAGGCCAACCATAGCCTGGGCTACATCAAAAGCAGCGTGGCCAGCAGGTTGAGGGAGGTGATTCTGCCCCTCTCCTCTGGTGAGGCCCCATCTGAAGTACTGCATCCAGCTCTGGAGCCCTCAGCACAGGAAAGACATGGACCTGTTTGATCATTTTTGTGGCCCTCATGGCTGCGCTCTGAGGGATTCATCCTATGAGGAAAGGCTGAGAGAGTTGGGGTTGTTCAGCCTGGAGAAGAGAAGGCTCTGGAGAGACCTTATGGCAGCCTTCCAGTACTTACAGGGGGCTTGTAAGAAAGATGGGGACAGACTTTTTAGCAGGGCCTGTTGCAACAGGACGAGGGGTAATGGTCTTAAACTAAAAGAAGGCAGATTTAGACTACATCTAAGGAAGAAATTCTTCACAGTAAGGGTGGTGAAACACTGGCACAGGTTGCCCAGAGAGGTGGTAGATGCCCCATCTCTGGAAATATTCAAGGTCCACTTGGACAGAGCTCTGAGCAACCTGATCTAGTTGAAGATGTCCCTGCTCACTGCAGGGGGGTTGGACTAGATGACCTTTAAAGGTCCCCTCCAACCCAGACTGTTCCATGATTCTATGATTTATTGCTGAGCATGATAAATGGTATGATCATATGGTATGGAATACCCCTTCAGTCATTTGTGGTCAGCTGTCCCAGCTGTGTCCACTCCCAACCTCTTGCCCAACCCCAGCCTACCAGATTTTAGGGGGCCAGGGAAGAAACAAACCTTCAACAGCGTGCAAACACTGTTTACCAGCAGCCAAGTCACCAGTGCGTTACCAAAGGTGTTTTAGCCACAAATGCAAAGAACAGCACCATACAGGCTGCTATCACAGCCAGACCCAGCACAGGCACTCTGTGTCACAAGTCGCTTCCTCACCGAGAAGTGCTTACTGCAACTCATTGTGTTATATTTGTTTCACAGGAAAAGTGCCTAGCTATAAAACAGCTAGGAAGAAAACCAAGTCAGCAGTACCAAAGCAGATGTAACTTGTTAGAAAGGAGGAAAGCACCGTCACTTACGCAGGTACGGAGACAGAGCTGGGCAGTGACCCTGAAATGGCTTCACCATGGAAACTTTTGCAATTGATTCGATCTTCTCTTCCTTTTGACTGTCCTCCTTTCTGAAATCCTCCACCATGCTCTTAGCTTTAAAAATTTCCTGTCTGGAGTCCACAAAGTAACTGAACGTGGCCCATAGCACCATCAAACACAAAGTGACAAGCACCAACACTTTGAACTTATAGAAGAGATGAAAGACATACAAGCTGAAGGCCATGGCTCTCCCTGATCCAGAAACTGCTTCCTCTGCTCTGATGACGAGGCAGGCCACTGCGCACCCAGTGGGATGAAACCAAAGTTCCTGAGAAGAACGTCACAGTAAGGAAGGAAAGCTGGAGGTAGGGAGGGCTGCCACACTTTCTCCAGTTTTGGAACTCAGGGAGCCATGGTGCTGTTTTCTCTTCAAATGTCTGAAAATACAACTTAACGTGGACAAAAAAAAAAAAAAAAAAAGATAATTAGTTTCTACAACCCTCCACTGCTGTACCTTCATAGAATTAATGAAAAGAGCTTATGACAAAACATGAAAGAAAGAGCAAGCATGAGCTACTGGTCAGAAACTAAGAGACTGAGCTTTGGTCCTAGGTCAGCCACAAACCAGCTGCATGATTTCAGGCAAATCACTTTACTGCTTTGTTCTCCACTCCCAGTCCAGCCCCATCCCCCGAAAGAGAAAATGTCCACTACACACACACCCAGTTTCACACCCCCAGTTTATGCTCTGCAACAAGTTGCATACAGGAAGTCAGCAATAAGATATATGAACAATCTGAGAACAGTAAACACTGTGGACCTCATGAATAATATTATCCTGCAATTATTACATCAAAGGCCTTATAATTTGCTCATCTAAACTTTACTTGCAAGTTTCTATAGAATAATCTAAATTGTTGCCTTTCATAACCCCTCAGCTACTGTGCAGTGTTCAGCATGTGAAGCACTTTCCCACTTCCCCCAAGGGAGGTAATCTCTCCACAATAAACCAAGGGCATCACTGCACAAAGCGTGTGCATGAGGAGGGAATTTCCTTTACCACCACCCAACCCAAATATGTTCCAGATTAACCTGGGCTGCAAAGGACAACATGAAGTTAAGATATTGAACTTAACATGCAGGGAATGACTATCAACAGGTGTTTGCTAAGAATCAGTTTACTAAATTCATAGCCTCTCACTTTATGAGAAATGGACTGCATTCTTAAAAAAACAATTGCTTACCTCTGATGCAAAGACTAGGGCAAATGGGCTGTCCCCCCAAGAATTTTTTTTTTTCTGTAAATAAAATAAAAAATTAAAAATGAACTATCCATAGAAAAAGACAAAACAAAACATCAGGAATCAATCGGCAGTATTAGTCAGAAGAGCAAGCTTCTGAAATACTTTTTTTTTTTTTTTTTTTTAAATATCAGGAAGAGTATGCAGGTTTAAAATTGCTACGGTACAAGGATGTTAAATTAGGAACATAAACTCTGAACTTACTGCACCAACCTTATTTCTACCTACCTCCCCTCCTATGCACTTAAGCGAAATCTCACACATACCAATTTCCTTTGTCAGCTTTGCAAGACTCCTTTATAAGCAGATGTTACTAAAAGTTCACAGTACTTGTCTCTGAGAAATATTCAGATTGTACTACCGTCAGTGTGAATTGTTTCACATAAGTAAAACCACATCTTCACTGAGTTGTTTGGCAGCAACAGAATGTTGCTCTTGCAAATACACTTGAGCACTTCAACAGAGCAGCATAAACATGTATGCATGATCACAATTAGTCACTTTCAGCTCATCACAACAAACATGCAGAAGGGCATAATTCATGTTTCATAAACTTGCAGCTTGGTATTTGGATGTTTTCAATGGAGAATACAGTATGTATTTCAAAAGGTATAAAGCATGGAGACATTTAGGGTATTTTAAATGGAAAAACATACACGAATCAATTTACCCATCAATTTACCTTATGTTATTACTTCATAGGTTAAAAGGTATTAGTGTGTCGTCCCCCCCCCCCCAAGACACAAGAACAGCATGTGCAGAGAAAGGCATGTCTGATTCTACTAACAAACAATAAAGAACCATACCCTTATGAATGAAGGCAACTGAAAAACAGAATGAAGACCTGGCACTTTTATGACTTTGACCAAAAATGGAGAACTCGTGAACTTAAGAGGACGGTAACTGGAAATAAAAGGACAAGCAAGAGGTTACCCCCCAAGAAAAACTTGCCTGTCAGAGAAATTAAAGGAAAATTTGATCATTGTCCCTCTGGAGAATGTTGCTTTACTATTTCACACTAGGACTCTTCATTCGAAAAAGTGATCTTTCACCAGCAAGCTTACAATACCTGGATTGCTAAGACAGGCAGCTAACTCAGAGTCAGGAACACCAGAATTTGGGCCTTGTTAAAAAGGGAGGGGGGAAAAAAAAGAGTTAGGCCCAGGGCCTGCTGTTAAAAAGCCATACTTTGAGTATAAAAGCCAAAGTTGTAACACATCCACAAAATCATTATTAATCGAATAGCCTTAATAAAATACTGACTAGAATAGTCATGCAGAATCTTCTCCAGTGTTAAAGCACAACAGTCATTCTGCAATTCACATGAAATAATGGAACAGATGCTTTGCACTTTGTAACTTCCAATTACATAAAATCAAACCCTTACCAATTAAGTACAGGTTGAGGAAATGCAAATCACAATCACAGGATGGTTGAGGTTGGAAAGGACCTCTAGAGGTCATCTGGTCCAACCCCCTGCTCAGGCAGGGCCACCTAGAGCCAGCTGCCCAGGACCCTGGCTGGCTGGCTTCTGGGTATCTCTAAAGATGGAGACTCCACAGCCTCCCTGGGTAACCTGTGCCAGGGCTGAGTGATCCTCACCGCAAAACAAGCATTTCCTGATGTTCAGATGGAACCTCCTGTGTTTCAGTTATGCCTATTGCTTCTGGTCCTGTTACTGGGCACTGCTGAGAAGAGCCTGGCTCCATCCTCTTTGCACCCTCCCTTCATGTATTTATACACATTGGGAAGTTCCTCCCTGAGCCTTCTCTTCTCCAGGCTGAACAGTCTCAGCCTTTCCTCATAGGAGAGATATTCCAGTCCATCATCTTCAAGGCCCTTCGTTGGGCTCTCTTCAGTATGTCCATGTCTCTCTTGTACTGGGGAGACCAGAAATGGACACAGGACTCCAGGTGTGGCCTCACCAGTGCTGAGTAGAAGGGAAGGATCACCTCCCTCAACCTGCCAGCAACACTTTGCCTAATGTAGCCCAGGACACTGCATGCCACCTTTGCCACAAGGGCACGTTGCTGGCTCAATTTCAGCTTGGTGCTACCAACCCTTGGTGCCACCAGGCCCTCTTCTGCCAAGGTGCTTTCCAGCTGCGTGGTCCCCAGCACGTAATGGTGCATGGGGTTGTTCCTCCCTCTGGATGGCAGTACGACCCTCAGGTGTACCTGCCACCCTTCACAGTTACGTGTAGTCTGCAAACTGGCTGAGGGCACAGCCCGCCCCGTCATCTAGATCATTAATGAAGATGTTAAACAGGACTGGACCCAGTATTGACCCCCGGGGTACACCACTAGTTACCGGCCTCCAACTAGACTCCATGCCACCGATAACCACCCTCCAGGCCCAGCTGTTCAGCCTGTTTTCAATCCACTTCATTGTCTGTCATCCAGCCCACATCAACAGCTTCTCTATGAGGATCTTATGGGAGACAGTATCAAAGGCCTTCCTGAAGTCCAGGCAGACAATAACCACTGCTCTCCCCTCATCTACCAGTCCAGTCATTTCATTGTAGAAGGTTATCAAGCTGGTCTAGCACAACTCCCCCTTGGTGAATCCACACTGACTATTCCTGATGATTTTCTTGTCCTCCGATTGTCTGGAAATCATTAGCTGCTCCATCACTTTCCAAGGCACCAAAGCGAGGCTGACCAGCCTATAGTTCCCTGGGTCGTACTTCTTACCCTTTCTGAAGACAGTAGTGACATTTGCTTTCAGGAAATGCCTGAGCAGCCAGCTCCCTCAGCAGTCATGGGGGTGCATCCTATCGTGGCCCATGGACCTGTGTTACGTCCAGTTTTCTTAAGTATTCCCTGACCTCTTACATAATCCTCTTCCACCAAGGGTATATTTTCCTTGCTCCAGCCTTTCCTCCTCATCTCTGGGACATGGGATTCTTGACTCCCAGTCCTGCTAGTAAAGACTGAAACAAAGGCAGCATTCAGTAGCTCAGCCTTTTCCATGTCCTCTGTAACCAAGTCCCCCATCCCACTGAGCAACAGGCCCACATTCTCCCTTTTCTTCCTTTTGTTACCTTTGTCCTTGTAGAAGCCCTTCTTGTCATCTTTGATATCCCTAAATCATGGCTGATATATTTGTTGGATGGTGAAAAAAAAGACCACCCAATCAGACATTAAAACATGTGCAAACAATAATTCAATCAAAAATTCAGTACGAAATAAATCTTGCTATAAACAATAATCCCCAAGATACTGGAAATGTGGTTCTTCCTTCTTCTATACTTTGTAACCCAGGGTGACTATCCCTCAAATAGGTGGGAAAATACCTGTGGTGCAACTAAACTCTTCTCATAGCTCTCAACCGTGCCTCTACCTAGCTCTGACCTTCATCAAAGGTACCAGGAAACCTTCATAGGAATATAAATTGCAACTCTTCTTGTGAAATTAATTCTCAGTGAAGCATAACCAAAGCTTGTTTGGAAAGTTACAGTGGACTACAAGGGCACAGCACTTCAGGCCACAAGGTTAAAAACACCATGGTACCCATTTCAAAACCCACGAAAACAAATTAAACAGAAAAAAACATAGTTATCCAAATATGATATCATCCACAATTCCAAAATCAACAAAAATGAGAAATGTCTCCATCTATATGCAGACATACTCGTATCTAGACAGACACTACAGACACACTTCTAAATATATCCATGATCATATTGAGGCACCTAGATATTGCGTTCCCTAACATCATATCTGTACTGATAACTGTCCCTGTGCTCTGCAGCTTGTCTTGCAACTCAAGTTCTGTAGCCTGCTGCGTTTCTTGAAACATATGCCAAACCCTACTTGCTTGCTCCAAGGTTCCTAGCACTGTTCAGAACAGGCTACCTGTAGGAACTGATCAGAAATACAGTGCTATATGACTCACCACACAAACAGACAGGTTCGGTTCAGATCCTTGAGCCTACTGGCAT